GCTGAATTGCACAAAACGCATGATCGCACCGGCTAGTCTGGTGCGCGTTGCCATTTATTTACTTTAATACACTCATCAATTAGTTATTGTTTTTATACATTATGTACCGCAACAGTTGCACAAAACAAATATTGTCGAGATCCTGTGTGTGCATGTTTCGAGTGCACTTTATCCGAGGTTTTAACTTGGGAACTAAAGAAGCCAAGATGCTGAAATTTCAAAGGGGGAACCCCTTACCTGCGTGTGGTCTCGCAAACTTAAATCCAGCGTCCGCACGCTCTAGGCCTCGCCTACGATCGCGCGAAAGTTTTGGCGCCTAAACTAATAACTTGGGAAGTACAGAAGGTAAAAAGCTGAAATTTTAAGAGGATGTCTCTTGTCCACGTATGATCGCCCAAACTTAGATTCAGTTTCCTCGAATGCCTAGATGGGACGCGTGAAATTTTTGACCGCCAGAATTAATAACTCTGTGGCCATGAAAGCTAGGGAACTGAAATTTACCGGGAATATTCCCTACCCATGTGCGAACCGTAATTTCAAAATCAATTTTCTGTCAAGTGCAGATCTCAGTTGCGTCCTCATGAAACTTTCAGCGGAAAAAATTAGTACCTCGGAAGCCATAAAAGACAGGAAGCTGTCGGGAGAATGTCCTTTGCCCACATAAAACTCAGCAGAACCGAAATCAGCTTTCATACCCCAGCAAAAGTTTTGGTAAGGAAAATTATTATTTCGGGAACCGGAAGAGCAACGAGGTTGAAATTTCAGGAGGATGTTTTCTACTTGTTCAGACCTCGCAACTCATATTTAGCCCCCAGGTACGCCTAAATCTTACCTACGACCGCGAGAGAGTTTTGGTGCGGAAATCACTTGCTCGGAAGCCGGAAAATTGTGAGATTGAAATTTGGGGGAGGATGTGCTTTGTCCAAGGTTTTATATTCAGTTTTCACATATAGGCGCGTGAAATTTTCGTCGGGAAATTTTGTATCTTGAGAGCCAGACAACATATTAACTATTTCTGCATGCACGAAAGTGTAAAACACTTAAATTTTTAGCAGGTAAACGCCCGCTGGACGGGACTATGCAAAACGCATGATCGCACCGGCCACCCTAGTGCTTTCGTGTGGCGTAAATTGCCCTCCGCAGTTTCCGAATCTAATAATGCATCACCTGCCACTGTACTCTCATAAAACAGTACATTGCGTCTGCCAAGTGTTTTGCATGACCTTCGACCGTACGTCCGTGCTTTTCCAGACCAGTGTGCGATTTAATCTTTGTTTTCGAATATAATGCCTTACTTTGATTAAGTGACGGAGAAGGAAATATACGGGCCATTTCAGGCACCAGCAGCATTTGGTCTGGTCAGTTTTTTGTTGGTTGAGGGCGTAGAACGATTTCGGATACGTCGCCATTTGCTCGCTTTCTCAGTTGCTGCCCCACTTGCTGCACTTCTTACCTACTATTTTATTGTTGTTGTAAGTCTTTTGGAATCGCAACACCTGACATTAATGAAAATTATGTATTTTTTTAAAACTGTACACTTCGAAAGATATATTACTTTTACAGAAATTTCTTGTTGCAGCTCGGTAGTAACACATTATCAGCGGATTCAGCAACTGGGAAATTAATGTTATTTTCTGCTGGGACTTTCCTCTATGTAGCCACTGTGCACATTCTTCCAGAATTGGTAAGATTTGCAATTTGTAATACCGGGAATTTTCTCCGAAGAAAAAACGAGAACAGAATTGCTTATCAACTTTTCTCTGCTTTGATTTTGTAAATTTACATTATATCACCGCTTCCCACAAGCAACATCCAAGAACCGTGTGTATCGCGCTAACAGAAAACTTTTGAAATTCTGCACGAAAATAAATAGGCTTAAAGTAAATTTTAATCCCAACTTTCTCGATAGTCTTTTTGTTCGCCTCGCATATCGCTTAGGATTTCAAAAACATGACAAGGGACAACAAAACAATTCTTAACAATTGCATGAACTTACAAGAAAACAGGAGAAATTTAACGACTGCATTATGTAACATCTCTTGGGGGATTTGACATCATTATTACAAAGCCGCCAAAGAAGCCTGAACAACTAAAATTCACGGCAGATCTGAATTTGTAAGGAGCAGCCGCCATCTCCAGTACCTCACTTTTGCAACAAAAATGGCTCTTACTCCGAGAAATTGGCTTACTAACAGTCTTCAAAGGATCTTACGTATTTAAATTTCTCTTACTGCTTTTTCAGGTCAACTCCGGTACAGGCGGATACCAACAGT